GAAATGTTCGCCCTATTATACGTCTTTCATTATACGACATTATACTATGACTTTGAAATATTTTTTCTTGTTTCTAAGATATCCAGATTTCCTGGCGATATATTCCGTCACCGCCAAACACGTGATAACTTAGCATTCTAAATTGCAATTAATAATTTCATTGATGCCGGCGGGGGTCCATTCCGAGATGTTCGCGTACTGGAAATTGGGCTACCAGCACGTGGTTTAATAATTTCATTGATGTGATTAGAGATCAAATCCGGGTAGCACTTAAGCTATAAAAAAAACATTATACTATCACGCTTAAGTACAACTGTATTATAGTTATATTTTTGTTATAAAATTTGGTAAATCTAATTACATTTTATGATAAAATGTAGTTTATAATTAGTCACAAGCTTAAATTAGAGTTAGTTTTAATAAATAAATCTCGTGTAAAGTATGCGAAATAAAGTGTAAATTATAGAATCGACAGAAAATATCAAATCGAAGACGTTGGCGCCGTTACTAAGGAACTTCTTAACTTAAAAAGATTACATAAGCCTTAATCGAAGTCCGATGCCGTTTTTAACAAGCAGGTTTTTTAATAAGACCAATTGCTTTTAACTACTTAATACATTTTAACGCCAACTCTTAAAGCATTCAACATTCTTACTCAAAATACATCTGTCCATTAGCGACGCAAATAAACTTTTAACGACTAGAGCTGGTAATTTCTTCGCTCTTCTTTCACATTATATAGAAATATCAGTGTTTTAGCAATGATTCAGTGTGGCGGTTCGAATGCAATCTAACACATTAGCCCGCGCGTTGTACGGCCATCGCTTTGGCTCTAAGTGAGAGATACGTGGGGTGCGCGCTTATCATCGGCGGCCGTATATCGTACGTGCTTGTGTTTTTAGAACAGAATTAACCGCACAGCGCAAAATCGAATGGCTGTTATATTTGATTTTGTCTATGTAACCGGAGCCGTGGTAGCTCAGTGGTTAACGCTCGCTGTAAATATAACAGAACGCGAGTAACCCGGGTTCGATCCCCGCCGGCACCAATGAAATTGTTAATTGCAATTTTAAGTGCTGATTTAGCACGTGCTCGGCGGTGAAGGAAAACATCGTGAGGAAACCTGCATGTCTGAGGAATAAAAAAAATATTTCGAAGACATGTGAAGTTCGTCAACACGCATTTGGGCAGCGCGGCGGACACTTCCTTGCCCTAAAACCCTCTCAGAAATGAGGGGAGGCCTGAGCCCAGCAGTGGGACGTATATAGGCTGTAACTTTACTTTTTACTTTACTATGTAACCGAGTGAATATAATTCTTCAGAATACTCTTTAGTTCGTTCAGAATCGAATGAAACAGTGTTCAATCGAAAATATACTGTATTTTTATATCAATTAATGACGAAAATAGCAGACCGTAATGCGGACATGCATACATGTCCTCTGTACTCAGCGGTCACAACACGTGGACAGTCTCACATGTCCTTGTTTTGTCCTAGTTTTTAAAGCACACACGAACGTTTCTTTCTTGTGTGTTAGTTAGTCGTCGGTTGTTTGGGCTATATGGACGTAGCACTAACAATTCAACCTACTGATGACTACGTACATTTTTATCGTGGATTCTTTGAAAAAGATTTGATTTATAGTAAACTTTTTTCAATAACTCTAAAAATGCTTTACCATATATTATGCAGGAAGTCTATCAATACAGGTGACTGGGGAACATGTTTTGTGCCATCTTATGGAGTTGGTTTATGTCCCAGTTGTGATTATTTGATGAGTTGTAATTATGGTGATGATGATGAAATATCATTGGGTGTACAAGCGCTGGTAATTATTCAAGTCTACTAAGACAATTCTTAGTCACTTATTATAAAATGTAAAAAGAGAAAATATGCGGTTTATATTTGTAACACAGGTTATAGAACTAAATTTGTTAAATAATGCTTTTGTGTCTAGAAATATTATTAGAGGTAAAATATATTTGTAAGATAAATACATGGGTCACTGAACTGAGTTCAAATGCCGACCAATTCAACAACGGCCAGACTGGGGCACGATAAACATCAGACTGGCTAGGAATTTAGCGGAATCGATACCAAATCAAAATTCAGCGCCTGGAAAATATGAAATAATGTAACTTAAACCGCTTCCATGTTTTTAAGGCATAAAAATAAACTTTTAATAAAAAATAACTTAAATCCGACTTCAAAGAACTTAAAATTATAAAATAATTTAATTTCATCGGTGTTATAATATTTTTTTATAGATTTATTTTAGAGTTCTTGTAGAAAGCAACCATTCGATAAATGTTAAAAAGAAGTCAGTGAAACTTAAAATATAGATTAAGGTTAGAGAGAAATACCCGTGCGAACTATGCCTAAGTCATTACTAATCAATATTCTAATCCCTCCTCCAGAGAACTCCTTTTGAGATAGTTTAGAAAGTGTAAATCCCCTTATACACCATGGCGGGCCCATTAGAGACAGGAATTATTCTATATCTTATCGACATAATCGGGTGGCCGCTCTCAGTTATTGTTTATCGTCGTTTCCTGGGCCGGCGGTCGAGAAAGTATCGATCGATAAAATCGATTAATTATGAATGTTGTCCCGTAAGTGCATGCAATGACATCGATTTTTCAACAATGTAAGATATATTTTGCCTTCGGGGTTATTCGATTTGAATTGCGATACCGTATTTGTTTTGAACGGTTAACAAATTAAGATTAATAATGTTGAATTACTTAACTAAAATAAATTGCATTAAATTGTTACGAAATTATTTTTCACTTCAAGTATCGTTACACTTTTTGTACTAGCGACGTAATAAGTTCTGCTAACTCATATCATCACGTAGTCGTCTGAAAAGCCGACAGAAAGTAACACAAAAGGAAAAAAGACAACAGCATCTTCCTGTTAACTTAGAAATGTGGAACTTAAAAAATAACTTAAAAAAGGGAAACAATACACCGAAAACAAAATTCCTCGTAACATCGATTCTTTCTTCCGAATAGAAACAAATTATTGCAACAACACTCCGTCAAAAATCGTTTCGAGTGATATTCAAGAGATTGAGCAACAATAGTCATACTTACGTATGAGATCCGATCCTCAATAGAGATGTATATCACATAGAGTAGGTCGTTTAAAGTCATCGATTGTTCGAGTTCCACGGTTTGTTATTAAGGCAAGTTCATAAGAAAATGTATGTCATTGTAAATTTCAAAATTTCGAAATGACTAGAGTAACTCTATTTTTATCGAAATCGTTTTTAAGGTTCTAAGAGGAAATATTTTTTTATAGAATAAGGGTGACAAACGAGCACACAGTCCACCTGATGGTAAGTGGATGCTGTGATAGACATCTACATTCAACCTCGATTAAGAATTAAATGCAGATGCACTGTCACCCCTGAGGACTTAGATGAAATGCCTCGATTCCAGTAAAAACGGGTGTCCGGTTCTCTACACTCATCATACGAAACACATCAGCATTAAGCTGCTATTTTACGCTGATATTCTGTAAGAGCGCTGTCCTTCCCCGGTCGAGCCGACCCATTCATGCTACAACCGTACTATAGTTGCAGCGTGGCTTTACCTCGTATCATCGTTATAATATGCAATTTGCACACATATTATTTGAGCCCTGTTAAAACAGAAATTATATTAGCAATAAATTCCTTTTGAGAGTTAAGTCGACCTTATAATTTACATCGTCATCATCATCATCATTGCAGCCCTTCACAAGTCCACTGCTGAACGTGGTCTCCCCCAAGGAATGCCACAAAGCACGGTCCTGATCCACCTGCATCCATCGACTTCCTGCATGTCTTACCAGGTCGTAATAGTATTTTCCCTATCCAAATAGCAGTTTAATAAAATAATATTTATATAGCCGTCTCTTTACATTAAATATTTTACATTCAAGCTCTTGCCTTGGTATTATAAGCTACGAGTGCATTATGTTCGTATTAACTGTTTTGCGAACAAAACACGTATATTTGTGTAGGTGTGTAATCTCCCTTAATGACAATATTATGCTACCGATCTCTTGTTTTCTTAACTTTACAGCTAGTTATACATATTCATTACGGTATAGTACGGTACAGGTACGGTGTAATGGTAATGGGTTACATTATAGTTCATTTGATAACTCTTATATTGCTTTCTAAGAGCTTGATCCAGCAGTGGAGTGCCGTAGACTGATGATGGTGATGATAATTATAAAGTTCTTTTTTATCTTCTATCTCTATCTAACTTTATCAAAAGGTGTTATTATAATAATGTTCTTCAGACCAAATCGGTCCCGGCGGCCAGCCTAAACGGAGACTAACCATCGGCGCAGGACAGGATTATAGCACCCAAGTATATGCGCGAGTACAGGTGCACTCTTTATTTCCTCACTCTCATAATCTGATGGGATGGGAAGACCAACGGCTTTACGTGCTTTTTGCGGCACGGAGGTGAGATACCGCCAACTTCCTGACTCCAGGCAGCTACTAAGAATTTCTTGATGGAAAAACTCTATAATTAATTTTTTGGCCCGACCCGGGATTCGAACTCAGGACCTCATGATCAGCAGTCGCACTACTACAACCACTAGAACAACGGGGCGGTTGTTATTACAATATTAAGGAATTTATATGTAATAATATCAGTGTGTATGGTGATAACACATATAAATAAAAATGAATTCTCTCAATGGCGTATTTCTGTCTGCAATGTCGAATTAACTTAACTTTTATTGAGATTATATTAATTATGATCTATATTGAATAAAAATAAAAATCCATCTTAATTTATTTTTCTATATCTATTTCTATTTCGACCACTAATTTACCAGACATATGGTATTAATTATAACTGTTTAGAAGTTGTGCCCATCCAGTAGTGGTTCATTACAGGCTGACAAAAAGATGACACCAGAGAACACTTCATTTTAATTTATTTTTATACTTATCTGATAATTGAAAATAATCTAACATTTTTGTTTCGTTGCAGTTTTCAAGCGCTTTGACATACACCAACAACCGTCTACCACTTCAAATTTCGGCTTTTCTAAGGTAAGTCTTCCTAAATAAGTTATAAGCGACAGTAGCCTATTGGCAGGGCGCGGACCGCGAACTCAAAAAGGTCGTGGGTTCGAATCCGCCATTCGACTACTGGCGTGAACCACTCGTAACACAAGTAATTTAAGGTTACCACTAGTGGTTAGGGAGAATATTAGTAATGTTTATAGCATTGTTAATATTATTTAAAAAAATAACTAGATTTTACGAATTTTATCGCATATATTAACTTTTTTATATTCTAATGTGTTCTCTCTTACATAGGACAAATTCAAAGATCAATTAAAACCCGCGTTAAAGAACATATAGCTGATGTGAAGAATGGACGATCCGGGAAGTCTGCAGTCTGTGAACACATACAGGATCACCCCCGTCACTACATCAGATTTGATAGACCAAAAATCCTCGCTAAAGAACACTGATTCCTTCCAAGGATGATTCGTGAGGCTATTGAAATCAAAAAACATCTTAATTTCAATATAGAACATGGCTGGGCGCTACCATCTGTTTGGGATCCTATAATTAAAAAAAATCAAATCTCAACCCAAGCGTAGATCGGAACACAAATTTTAAATTTCAATCTCTGGGTAACCGCGGTTAACGCGGTTAAGCGGTAACATCGGGACATCGAACACCTCAGTCCCCCCCCCCCCCCCCCCGTGATCAAGGGTGGTGGAACATCGAGATTATAAAAAAGTTAATATACGCAATAACATCCGTACAAACTAGTTCCTTCCTATAAATCCTACTCATAAAGTGTTTTTATTCAAAATAAAATATTCCAAGATTATTTGATGCCGTGTAGTGGCGACATTAATTAAAACAACAATTAATACATAATTATTTAAAATTAATATAATAAATTATGATACTATTTTATGTGTATAGCCAAATTCAGTAGATTATTATTAACTTCAATTTTATTGTTTTTAACTATATATTTTGTGACAAAAATCAAAATAAGTTGACAATTAGTTGAAAATATAAATATAAATTGATGATTTACCCTAACATTAATTTTATAAATAATCAAAAATTAATTTTGTAAATTTAATTTAAACTTTTTATTTAAAATTGACACTGGCATTGTCATGTCTTTTAATTAAAAAAAAATTGCATGACTTATAATCACACATACTTATATAATATTGTAATTGGTTTTAACTAATATCGACTGCTGTATGAAAATTGGGAATTAAATGGCTATTACTATTATTATTATAGTGGCGACATAGGAGAACCCACTATCCTGTATCATCCCGTGGGTGTCGTAATAGGTGACAGAGGGAAACTGAAACATGAGATGGACCACAGAGTCTTCCTGCTAACAACTCAAAAATAATAAATAAGTGCAGTTTTCACCCTGTTTAAGCCAAGCCCGGCAACTAATCCACTCTTGAAAATTTTCTATGTTTCTATCTTAGAATCGTTTTTATAGCTATTGTACTTGCAAAGTTACGCGTTACACAAATCAAATCTCTATGATTCTATGTGTAGCTGTATTGATATTGACAATTATTATGGTAATTATTTTGAAAAACTTATTAGACGAAAACCCATAACGATGATCATGTGGTTATTGCCTGTGCGCCGTAGCACTTCAAACGATCATTCTGACAACGAATGCTTATAGCAATTTTATCGATGCTTATTATTTCAATGGGGGAAGGACCACACTCACACAGACTACGGTATCAAATAAGAACACACTGCTGCTATGTTTTATGATGGAAGCCAAAGACCCACCTTACTATTAACGAATCGTTTCATCTTAGCTTTCAGAGGTGTCAACGCTTCTGTATTTTCGTTCTTCTTCTTGTTCTTTAAGTGCCTCTCCATTACTGAAGGTCGGCAGTCATCCTTCTAAATTCTTCTTTGTTCAGGGCTAGCCTGAACAGATCTCCAACTTTCTTTATCCCGGTCCATTTCCGGATGTTACATAGCCACGACATTTTCATTCTATCAACACCTCTTTTACCCGCTACTTTTCCCATCATAATAGTCCGCAGCAGTTGGTAACGTTCGTACCTTAGCACGTGTCCTAGGTACGCAACTTTTCTCTGTTTGATGGTTTTGACAAGTTCGTTCTTGGTCGGTGATATATGTCGGTGTCTTTGGTCCACGTCATCCAATTACCATCAAGTGCATTGTGTAATCGTTTGTTACTTAGAGTTTTTTTTTAATTAGAACGCAATAGCTGCTAGCCTCGCGTACTATCCCTTTTATCGAAAAATTTCGATTTTTCATTTATCTGAAGTCCCTCCGTCGGTGCCAGGTTAACAATCAATATATCCAGGTGTAGAATTGTAGTACAGTAAGACTGCGATGTCTATCCGAGTACAGAACCAGAGTACGAAACTATAGAATATGTAAGCAAAAGTTTTCTACTCTGCACTGAAAAACTTTTTCAAGCTGCTGGAGTTGAAAGGATACAGTTTTAATATCAATAACGAATACATTATTCGACTCGATCGCTCACCTCATCGATTTGCCAACGATATAGCCACTTGTTGATTTATATTTGTACCTGAGACAAAACATCCATTTATATAATGGTCACCACACACGGTCAGTTCAACTGATCATTCCAACTGATCAGTTCAAACTAAAACTGTTGATGTTTTTTTTAAATACTGGATTTTCGATAAAATATCGATAAATAAACTTACGAGTATTCTAAAACTCCGATATTGATATATTTATAATTATCAATATATCGGAAATTCTGTTGAACTGATCGTGTATGGCGTCCATAAGTTTAACTTCGCTCAAGAGATGAATCGACGAATTTAACTAGCTTAGCCGCGTTTGGGAAACTACAATAAATATTATTGTCTGAAATACCTCAGGGCCTAAAGCATATGTTCTCAAATCGTGTTATCTGTCATGTTACCTGCTGCTGATGGAATTGCAACGTGGTCTTTGCAGCTTGTTACCAGGAAGCTCAAAAATCACTGAGCGAGTTATGAAGAGAGTACCGAAATACTATGACTAAATTAAATCCGAACTAAGATATCCGCAGAAGAACAAGAGTAACTGACATAGTTCAGTAACCTTAAATGTGGACTAGCATATAACTCGAAGAATCAACAACCAAAAGCGATGAAAGGTTCTTGTGTGGCAGTTGCGTTGGCGACAATCTACATGATGGGGTGGCGACCTACTGAAACATGGAAGTAGTCTGAAAGGGAGATGGATGCAGGTAGTCCGTGCTTTGTGGCAGTATATGGAAGAAACCTATATTCAGCAGTGATTTTGTGATGCTCTGTAATAATTATATTTATAATGATGATGATGATGATGATTTTTTGACTTTAGCAACACTAAGTATTTAAAAAGGATCCATTTTTAACTTTTTCGTGCGTTATAACCTCTTTTAATTATTAATTTCTCTTATTGTTTTCGTGTTTCCCACGGTAAACATTGACGTCTCCTGGAAGTTTTTAGTGTTTCCGTCACTTTCTTTCAATCACAAAATGCAATAAGTTGAAAAGAGAGAAAAATAAGTACCAAGACGTTAATTTAAGTGGTTGCGTAAGCCTATATTTACCGGGCGTGGTCAACGCCAACCACTCATTAACTTTGATTTGGGGATTTTAAACATAATTTGGATGTGATTTTTCTTCGGTTGTTGAACGAATTGTAATGATATTTAATGCAGTCCACAAATCATTTAAACATCTACGTTAATTTTTTCATATTTTTAAAGCCAATTGGCATAGAGTAATAAAAACAATGAAATTTTTATAAAACTACCAGCAGTAGCAAAATTAAGCTTTGTTATTAAAAACCATATTTTGTTTAATTTTTTCCCCATATTCCGCATCAAGTCATCACCCTATATATTGGAAGCCATTCTACATTCGCCGATACGAGGTTGTCACTACATATTCAATTTTTTATGAGCCATTTTGAATCCGCTACTAGTTAAAGCATGCAAAGTGTAGGGTGATATCCAGCTGGACGGAGTGATAAGCTTATAATTATCGATGTCTGAAGGTGGCTGAGGACTGTGCTTTGTAGCATTCTGGGGGAGGTGGCATGTTCATCAGTAGTTGACCTCTAAAGAGCTGTGTTGACGATGATGTCTAGATCTTGAAAGGTCAAGAATGAGACAATGGACTGCATAACTTGAAAACTTACCCTGTATTCGCCACTTCGTTCAGGTGCGATGGCCAGCGAAGCGATAATTGCCCCATACTAAAAGAACTGTAATTTCTAAATCATCTGGCAAATGTGGCAACTGTAGCAAATATTCGCTACGAGAGAATCTATGGCCTATGTTTAGCAGTGGACTTTTTTCAGACTCTAATGCACGAATGAATGAAGCCTGTAAGACAATCCATATATTTCAGTTATTGAGTTAAACATGAATTCCAAAGAAGTAACTTCTTGGAAATTTTTATCGTTCTTTTTATTGTAGTGATGTTATATATAAATTAATTCTTATGGAATTTTTAAACGGAACGTGATTTTTGTATTCTTTGGGGAACGTCTACATTCAGCAGTGGACTTGTGAACGGCTGAAGATGATCATCGTTATCATCATTATTACAGCCCTTCATAAGTCCACTGCTGAACACAGGCCTCCCCCAAGGTATGCCACAAAGCACGGTCCTGAGCCACCTACATCCATCGACTTCCTGCGTGTCTTACCAGGTCTTCACTCCATCGAGTGGGGGGTCGCCCTACACTTAGCCTACCGGCATGAGGCTGCCACTCGAAAACCTTTTTCCCCAATGGTTGTCGGTTTTTCGAGCTATATGGCCGGCCCGTTGCGACTTCAGCTTACTAATCCGTGTAATGATAATGATGAAGTTGAATTTCTAAACTGTAAAATGTTTTATTGTTTGACGTAATAACTGTTAGTTTTTCTGTGTATTGAGTCTATCACTTCACTGTATCGATCATAAACACAAATTATTTTTACGTGTCCTCGTAAATTATATCTCTTTTTTTGTGTATTTGACAAATTAGTAAATATATTAAAATTGTATCCAAAAGCTGAAATGCCATAGTGTAAGGTACACCAGGGCTTATATATCACAATAGAGCTAATTCCCCTTTAGAAACGAACAGCTGTGACCCAAGTCGCTGGTTTATGCGAGAAATACTCGGTTGTCGTCGTGTGGCGAGATGGCGACGCGATTGTGTGTCAACTTAATATATTCCCGCCATAACTCAGACGTATCGCCATTGCAAATAATAGAATAGAGAGCGGGAACACAATACTGATATATATAATAGAGAAATATTTACATAAAATACTTTCACATAAATCTTATATGTAAGTTTCTTCCCATATACAATTCATATTACATAACGGCCAAAATTTCTTATCTAATTCTAAACTATTATACAAAATATTGTCATTTGAGATCTTTAAGCTTGTTAGAGTTTGTAAAGATCTTTTCTTTTTAACTTATGTCTAATATTATAAAATGTCAGGAAATGTAGAATGTAGGACACAAAAACAATATCATTTATTGTACAGTTCGAACACTCTATATATATAAAAGTGTATATATATATATATAGACGTCAGCGAGTTGGAATGACAGATTGGAACAAAAACTTATGTCTACAATGCGTACCTACCCTTAAAACTACTATCGCTTTCGTTTTAAAATCTTTTGGCAATCCTGAAATTTAAAATTTACCAGATAATATCTGCTAGAATATTTTCTGAAGTCAACACGTAAATAAGTTACGTGGTAGTGCCATGCTGGTGCTATATTAGTAGTATAGTTATAGCACGAATGGGTCGGCTTGACCGGGGAAGGATCACGCTCTCACGGAATCCTAGCGTAAAATAGCAGCTCAATGCTGCTGTTTTGTATGGCGAGTGTAGACCGGAGACCCTTTTAACTGGAAACGAAGCATTCCATCTTAGTCCTCACATGTGACAACGTATCTGCGTTTTGATTCATAATTAATAAATGTAATGTCTATGGGCCACAGCAACCACTTACCATCAGGTGGATTCTGTGCTCGTTTGTTACCGTTATCCAATAAAAAATATAGGCGTGTAGAAATACAATATGAATTTTTTTTTTTTTTTTTTTTAAATAAAAAAAAAAATTTTTACCCAAAACCCCCAGTAAAAAATCAAAAAAAAACTAAAAAAAAAATAAAAAAAAAACAAAAAAAAAATAAAAAAAAGAAACCTTACCCTAAAACAACCAACAAAAAATGGAATTTAATACCAGTTTTTTTCTATCAGGCACTCAATGGGTTCCTGATGATGATGACGCAGAACGGCAAACTCCTTTACATATCTGACAACGCAGCTGAATATCTTGGACATTCCATGGTAAGTATTTTTTTACTTTAGCTGATTAGTTCTGGTTTCGTTACAAAAGGTCAGATCTGCTCTTATTTATCACAAGACAAGAATATGAATATTTCGTACCTACCTAGATTCTTAGGCCGAAAAGAAGTCATCTCACTTGAAACGGATAAGTAGGTAAGGTATGTAATATATAGAAGACGACGCTTCAAAATTCACGATTTCATCCCCACCGTCTGAATGCTTGGCGGTCCACTACTGTGGGATTTACTAGAAGTTTTCTACTTCGTACAACTTCTCTGTGGAATTGTTTACCACCAGCGATTCTTCCGGACCGATACGACTTAGGGCCTTTCAAGAAAAGACTTACTCCTTTCTAAAAGGCCGGCAGCGTACCTGCGATTCCCCTGGCGTTGGAGTTATTCATCGGTGGCGGTGGTCACTTACAATCAGGTGAGCTGCATGCTCGTTTGCCCCCATCTCCTATAAAAAAAATTATAATCTATACAGTACAATTACAAAGATGAAACTTGAAAAAAAAACTGCTCGGAAAATATTACAGCGCTCAAATATACGTGCAAATACTGTTAGTATCGTCTAATGTAAAGTGGTCGCACATTGTAAATTCTCAACACCAACACAACATAGGACATAAATATATGAGTTTTATATCATGTCAGGTATAGTTCACCTTTAGCCTTTTAATGCTGTACAGACAAGCAGTTATGCCAAGACTTTAAACTTCAACATATTTAACATACTAGAGACATGCTGTAGAATGAGTGGGTCGGCTCGGCCGGGGAAGGATCACGCTCTTACAGAATACCAGCGTTAAATAGCAGCCTAATACAGCTTTCGTATGGTGAATATAGAGAACTGGGGAAACTTTTTACCGGTAACAATGCATTTTATCTTAATCCTCAGGATGACAACGCATTACATATTGATTCTAAATAGATGTAGGTGTATAAAGGCCACAGTATGCACTCACCATCGGGAAAACTGTATGCTCGTTTATTAACCTTATTCCTTTTTTTTTAACTTTGAAATTATACCCGTGATTTGCAGTTGAGTTGATGAGTGCAGTGCTAATATAATCAAAATAATAACGCCCTTGCCCTATTAGTGTGTTGGGTTCTAGTTTATCGTTTCGGATGATTGGAGGATGGACTTATTTATTTCAAATAGGTTGAAAGGCTGATATCGGCAGGATGCACAAAAAGCAAATGGAGCTGTAATTTAAATAGAATTAAGTATGTTTTCCCGTAAACTATTAATTTTAATGTATAGGTACCTCCTTCATTAACCTGCAAAAGTCAATCGCCAGACGAGGCCCTTGTGATGGTAGTGTTTGCCTTGATCACTACCCTTGGCAGGGCTAACTCAGTATCAGGCATCTCTGTTCCATTGCTGGTCTACAAATTTCACGTCTGGGGTAAACGAGATGGTTACAACGCCATCTATTGGACGCCATTAGATCTTTCTGGGGCTTCTCACAGTCACAATTTCATATAACTAGACTTAAGGAACGAAATGGGGTGGTGTATCCACATACGTCATTACGTCCTTACTTTTCTATAGTATTTATAAACTTATTAATTCTATAATATGTATTAATGTACAATTCAAATACTGGGTGATTTTTTACCGTCTGAAAAAAAGGGTGTAGCAGGTGAACGGAGTAGAAGCCCATGGCACTGATATTTAAATTTTTTTTCATTTCACATAAACATATCATGGAATTGATCTATCAATAAATACTACTAATTTGAAATGAACTTTCCGTACTAAAAAAATAACAACAAAATTTTTGAACTACCTAAATTAATAAATCAATTAAAAACTATCGAAATTAAAATAATACGTACCTAATTAGTAAATAGACTGCCTCGTTGGTCTAGTGGTTGTAGTGGTGCAAATGCTGATCATGAGATTCTGGGTTCGAATCCCGTATCGGGCCAAAAAATATCAGTTATTGAAAGCCGTCGCAGCGCAGATGGTTAACGCTCGCTGTAAATATAACAGAACGCGAGTATCCCCGGTTCGATCCCCGCTGGCCACCAATGAAATTGTTAATTGCAATTTTAAGTGCTGATTTACCACGTGCTCGGCAGTGAAGGAAAACATCGTGAGGAAACCTGCATGTCTGAGGAGTAAGAAAAAAATATTTCGTAGATATGTGAAGTACGCCAACACGCATTGGAGCAGCGTGGCAGACACTTCATTGCCCTGAAAACCCTCTCAGAAAGGAGGGGAGGCCTGTGCCCAGCAGTGGGACGTATATAGGCTGTAACTTTACTTTACTTCTATTGAGTTTTTCCATTAAGAAATTCTTAGTAGCTGTCCTCGGAAAGCACGTACCTAAAGCCTTTGGCCCTGCGCTTGATCTCTCTCCGGTTGTGTCGGTTTACCGTCCCACGGACCATGAGGTAAGGAGGGTAGGAGGAAGTAAGGGAATAGAGATTGCACCCGTGCTTGCGGATACACTTGGGCACTATAATCCTGTCCTGCGCCGATGGCTAGCCTCCGTTGAGGCTGGCCGCCGTGACCAAAATTCGGTCTGGAGGACATTATTAAAATGTAAAATTAAAATTATAAAAAATCAGTGCCATAGGTTTGTATTCCATTCACCTGTTATACCTTATTTTTTCCAGACGGTAAAAAATCATCGAGTATAATTAATTTTAAGGTATATTCAAGTTAGTGTAGCTTACAACTTTAAAGTTAGCATAGATACACAAGATTATATCAGATTGTCTGTAAAATAACGCCACCTATTAGCGTAAACACGTCATACGGTTTAACTGAATCAGCGAATACTCAAACAAGTTGAGTAATAAAAGCGAAATCAATATCTATACGCTCATTTTTTCTCGGAGCACAAAGCACGCCGGTGGGTCCACTCCGGATACAAATCGTACCGCATCTGACCCCAAATAGTACCTCGTTAGCTTGCGCCGGCGTCGGTAAATTAATCACTATGCTTTATTGTTCGCTACGGCGGCCGCAGCCGATAGACCACCTATAGGCTGATCCATAAAACTGGTACCTTTTTTGAGCAATTATCAGGTTGTACCATAAAACTGGTATGTTAAAGACACCTATTACAGGTAATAAAAATAATCATGCGATTTGAATTAATCAAATCTATGGTTGTAAATAACTGTAGAATATTAGAATTAGCAACTACTTGTATATTTATGTGTGGTAGCGGCATAAGATAAAAAATCCACCAATTTCGTGTCAAAATAGGGCAAAATATCTAAATACCTTCCGATATAATGGCAGTATATCGTCTTGTTTATTCGTGAAATGTGCGCAACGTCTACTACTGCGACGATCAATCCCCGTGCCAAGCGTAGGATACAATACTACGCTTGGCATTTAAGGGGAAATATAATGTCAAATGGCTTAGCAAGATCCTTCGTTATGCCGAAAATATTGCAGCATTAATTTTGAAATAAATATATGGTAAAGTTGAGGATTAATGTTAATGATTATGTTAGACGAAAACGCGATTTCGTAAAATTATCTCGATAGAAAAAAAATCCAAAGTTACCTCCAAAATAAACAATAAACCGCTGTTATTCATAAAATACTTTAAATAAGATCATGAAACTTTGCATACTAACTGAACTAACTATAAAGCAGTGCTTATGTTATTTACTTTTTTTTAAATACCATTATTTTCACTGTAAAAAGAAATTACCTAAACTATCGGCGTCTTGAGCTTGATTTCAGTCGCCCCGTTAGTATCGCTTAGGCTTTTGAAGGGAGAAGTTGTGTCGCTTACGATCAGAATATACATTACGCAACAGTACGACGTAAAATTAAAATGGGAAATAACCGTGATAAAAATAAGAAGCGGCTGGCTTGGCGTTAAGAAACAGGCATAAATATGATAAACCTAATGAAATAAGTGTCTAACGACCTTTCTACTTACAGTATTAGTGATTACAAACATATCGGTACATAGCATACGACGCGCGGGGAAGTGGGGGCGAAATTAGAATTTGAGCTGACTTACTCTATCCTCTTAAGGAAAATCCTGCCTAGTGAGTGTACTATTTGCCATGATCGATTTTAGAACGTCGGTTGCTTGCAAAGAAGAAAAACTATGAAATGACGCTCGTATTTCATCAATTTACTTTAGTTAAATGGATACAAAAGAAAATCTTACAATAATTATTTATATTGCTCATAACTTTTTGTACAAGGGAAGGCGGCAATAGTATAATAATAATAATAATAATAATAATAATTTATTCAGATAGAAAGTGATACAGAGTAGTAGTCAAACAATGCATCTTATATACTAAATATGTTCTTAAAAATGAACTTGCTTCCTAAGTTAGGGTAAACCCTGTGTTTTAGGTTAAGCAAAGCTCTTCCCACTTACATAAAACCTTAAATAAGATACACAAAATATAATGAAATAATACAAGTGACACAAAAAGAGAACAAAAAAAATATAAATATAGATCCTTAGAATTTAAAAGACATGCACAGATGAAAATAAAAAAAAAATTTAGCAGAGAAGTAACAAATTGACATCTATGAACACTTATGCAAGTACTGTTAACAAATTCTCCGTTTCTTCATAAGACTTTAGTTGAAGCCATTTTCTGAGGGCAATGTTGCAGTCATGCTTATTCATATAGTATATATGAACAATTTTGTTTACTTTATTATATAAATATGGGCCAAGAAAGCAAAAATATTTTTTTATAAATTTTGTGTTGGGCTTAAAACTGGACTTAATCACAATGTCTTTACGACGTTTACATTTGATTTTGTCAGGGTCATAGTTTATACACTGATGCTGTTTTTTTATAACATTTAGAACAAATAGTTGGCGAACAGTTAGTACTTGGCAGTTATTGTAGAGTAATATTGTAGGATATTGAAATGGTTTAAAAGTGGAGACCTTTAAAAGCGCTCTTTGAGCCCTTTCTAAAGAAACCATGTGCGTTTTTAGAGCCCCACCCCAACAAGAAATGCAATAAGTTAACAAGGATTCACAC